TAGAAGGCTACACTCTGCAGGGACAGAGTGTAGATAAGAGAGAAAGGGAGAACTCTGTGGGTTTGGTAAACATTTCCTCTGTGGTCTACTCTGTAGCTGCTAATCAGACAGAGGCTATCATCTAGAGTCCTGCAACTTTTTTGCACTGCTAGCTTAATTTGAAGAAAAATGGCAGTTACACATACAATAAATCCTCAGATTTTTAGCTGAGGATCAGCTGTTGTGGTCTCTTTTTTTAAGACTTTTTTGGGGTGGGGGTCAAACCTAAGATGTTTATTAGATGGCCTCAAAAATTTACTCCAGAATACTTTGGTGCACAGAGGAGACTCAGTGACTGCATGGAGCCTGGGTCCTGTGGGTGCAAATTAAGCTCAAATCATCACTGCTCCATTGCTGCGCTTTACTGTTGGCGAATTTGTGATGATATGCTGTGTGGTTTACGCTATAAACAGTTTTGCTGTGTGTGTGTATTTGCCATGCAGCAATGTTTTTTCTGTTTCTGTTTCTTGCTCAGGTGCCAAGGGGCAGCAGAATATCACAAACTGGGGCCCTGCAGCCTTTTCTGAAGCAGAGCTCAGTCTGAGGGAGAAACAATGGCAGGAGACGAAGAACCAGGCAACTTAAGCTCAGTAAAGCTGTTGTAAACCATTATCATAACCTTAAACATGTTTAACTAACAAGGGAAAGATGAGACAGGCCTGCTGGGATGTGCTGGAACGTCTCTGATGAAGCGTATCTTTGCCGGGATAAAAAGGCATTTTATAATAAGGTGGCATTAACTAATCAATAAATCTCACGTTACCCTGTAGGAAGCACAGATAGAACTGATAAACTTGGCTCTATGTTAGTGTTGGCCACCATTGATTATCTCTAAAACCACCAACAAGAAAAAGCCACCTCATAATTTAGGGAACGGGATTTAAAATGATAATTATTGCAAAATAACTTTTCCTCAGTAGAAATATGAGAGATAATCAGCACAAAATCAATAGAAGGCATTCGGTTTATATTTTTACACACAGCGTGACAGTGACAATGGGAGTAGTGCCAAACCGAACCAGTGACTATGACAACAAACGCGGTCCACGGCTCAAAAGACGAAGACGTTGTTGAACAGAGGGATCCAAAGAATTCGGTATTGTGGAGATTTGTAGCTGTCCAACATAGGAGTGGAATATCATACACTGCACATACGTGCCTTTATGTGAAAGCATGTTTCAACAAAGCCACGTAACACCACAAAATTGTTTTTGCCGTCCTTGCAAAGTGCAACACTGACAGTTTCTCTGCAAGATTTTACAGTGTACATTTTATTGTAAAAGAAATGATGGCAGTAAGGACAGTGGCTGATTAAAGTAACTGACCCTCCTTAGCAACTCCCTCGCCGGAAGCGTTTCTCTCAGATAAGTGCAGGCACGTGTCGGACATGCGATCCACACGAGTGCAGTTTTACCAAAATGTCAGCAAAACCCACATCAAACCACAGACGTCCACAGATTATGTGTAATGGTGAGAAATGTCACAGGGAAAAAGTATTGAACACATGAAGAAAGCGAGGCGCAAAAAGGAATGGAAAGTCATGACACCAGCTGAAATCTATCAGTAATTAGAAAATAATCCTGGCGCTTAGTGCAAATTAATGTCAGCTGGTTCAGTCCAAACCAACAGCTTATAAAAAGGTGACTCATTACCAATGTGTCACAGAAGAGACTTCTCATGATGGGTAAGACTAATGAGCTCTCTCAAGACCTTCACAACCTTATTGTTGGAAAGCATGCTGATGGCACCAGTTACAGAATTTCTAAAATACTGAAGATTCCATTGAGCACTGTTGGGGCCATAATCCAGAGGTGAAAAGAACATTTTTCACCATAAGCCGACCACAACCAGGTGCTCCCCGCAAGATTTCAGACAGAGGAGTGGAAAGAATTGTCAGAGTTGTCCCAGAGCCAAGGAGCACTTGTGGAGAGCTACAGAAAGACCTGGAATCAGCAGAAGGCACTGCACATCACCCCCAAAACACCATACCAACAGTGAAGGTTGGAGGTGGGATCATCATGTGTGGGGCTGTTTTTCAGCATACAGCACCGGCACACTTCATATTATTGAAAGAAGGATGAATTGAAAAATGTACTGAGACATTCCTGATATAAATTGGCTGCCATCTACCAGGATGATGACGATGAAACGCTTCAGCAAGATGATGTTCCCAAACACGCAGCCAAGGAAACTCTCGATTGGTTTCAGCGAAAGAAAATACAGCTGTAAGAATGGCTCAGCCAATCATCTGACCTGAATCCAACTGGAAATGTATGGAAAGAACCAAATTTCAGAGTTTATAGAAGAGAGGTGTGGAATCAGGATTTGATGTTTGTGTGGAAGACTGGGCCAAAATCACACATGAGCAATTTTGAAGCTGTTGTCACCAACACAGGCTTTTGTACCAAGTATTAAACAACTCAATATCAAATGTATAAATTATTAAATTATATAAATTAATTATTAATTATATACATTAATTTAAAAAAATGTTCAATACTTTTCCACTGTGTCATTTGGCTTGGATGGGTTGTTACAGGCATCTGGAGATTTCATGTCAATGGGACCTTTAGAGATAATTGGTGATGTGTTCAATACTTTACCTGCTGTATACAGAATGTTTGTTGGGTTTTTGCCTATAAATCTTTCTTGCAGTTATTTGCAAACCATTTAAAACTGTAAGAATCGGCAGGATCCTTGTGATTTCATTTTTTATCAATATCTACATTATTGTTTCTCGAACTGACCATAACCATAACTTAGTTTTCCATTTTGTGTTCATGTGTAACACATCCGGCATCTGTACGATGATTGTGGAAGGTGACTTTGAGCTGTAGGACCAATGGGAACCTTACCAGTTACCTTTATACAAAGTTAATAAAGAGTGGAGTACTTAGAAGTTAACAGTGGTTGGTGCCTGCTGTCTGTAAAGGCAGACCATAGTCAAAATAGACCTGAGCCAACAATATACATGATTTGAAATTGGTTTTAAGACATTCAGCTTTATTAAAAACACAAAAAAGAAAACTGTTCTGTTTTAACAGGTTTCATGGATGGAGAACTGTAAAGTAATATGGCCATTTCAGGCAGCTAATCTGTGTTTTTGGTTTGACTCTAGGAAGAACAAACTATTCATGTAAAACTTGTTTTTGGTCAAATATGGTCCCCCGGTATAATTTTTTTTCTTCTTTCCTGAATCTCTGCAATGGAGGTGGAGAGTATAAATTTAGCATGACCCACAAAAACACAATAACCTCAGTAACAGGAAATACACAAGGATGAAACACAATGAAACTAGCCTTTAAGCCACGAGTATAAACAATGTGCACACCAGTGCTTTGCACTGTTTTTCTTCTTCCAGTTTGTCTCGACTGTGTCCATGATATGCACTACTTTTGATCAGAGTCTGACCCGTCTAACAAGAATTAGCCAAAGTGTATTTTAGGTTCTTTGTTTTAATCCTTTTAAAGAAGCAGAAACTACTAAAACTGCTAAAAACTACTCTACAAACTAGCCTCCTTAAGATCATTTTTACATTGAAATGTCAGTGTTTGTACATATTTAGTCGGCTTTATGTTTTAACAATGTTACCTTCAAAAGAATGTAAACTATCATGTACAATTCACTAAATATTTTATTGTCAAAGAGCTGTTTTCAATACTTTGTTTCATCAAGATTTCTAAGTGACTCTGGAACATTTCTTGTTCTGTCTTGTCCTGAATATTGTTAGCAGGATTATTTTACTGAAGTCTAACTCCCAGCACAGATGCTAACGGCAGAAAGTTTGTTACTTTAGAACAACCAGTGACTTTGATACTGTAAAAATTCAAAATTGTGATTTTTTTTTTTTAATATATATATATATGTAAAAAGCTCGAAACTGAACCATATAATAAATCACATCTTGAATAACTGACTTTTTTTTTCTAACACCGTAGAAGAGTTACAACGATCCATTTAACAAACTTCTTCCACTTATCGAATTCGGGGATGGGGCTCTTGCTCTCAGCAAGGCAGACGAGATGTATCTGCTAATCTACAGGTAACATTAGACGGACAGATATTTGACCTAAAGGCATTTAAATAAGGTAATGTGCTATTTATCCTAAGGTGAGAAGTGGGAGCATCTAAACATGAAAGTTTAGATGACAAAATGACCTAAACAGGTAAAATAAATAAATATATAGCTCAATTTAAAAAAAAAAAAAGTCTCAATCCTCCTACTCTTACTTTTATCTCTCAAACTCCAGATTCACATTTTTTCCATTAAACTTTAGTTTACTTTGACACATCTCTCTCTGGCCAGTCAGAAAGGAATCTGTGTATGAAAGAGGTCAGCTGACTTCCAGTTTGTTTGTGCATTAAGAAATGTTGTGGGGGAAAAAAGACATTTGAGCGATTCAAATTAAATATTAAAACAAATTCAAATATGAAATATCCGAATTCAGGTTATATTTGCACATATTTCCTCAGCCTGTACATACTTATAGTTATAGAATATTCATAACATACTTCATACCGTGTACATTATAACATACCATAATAGACCCATTTCTGTAATATACTCACATATCTATATTGTTGCTAATATATATTGTAATATATCTATATCACTAAAGCACTTCTGGATGGATGCAAACTGCATTTCGTTGCCCTGTACCTGTACCTGTGCATGTGCAATGACAATAAAGTTGAATTCTATTCTATTCTACCCTATTAGCCAGTTTATAAAGTAATAACTGTTTTAACCTTGAGTGATCACTAGAGGGCGCTACAGTGTCATAAAATGTGTGCTGTGAGTTTATAAAGCAGCAAAACGGTAAAATGTTAACTGGAGCTCATCTGGGGACAGGATAGTGACAAATGTTGACTTCATTTCTGTGACTTCACTGTCTAAACCTTTAGTTTTATAAAAAATAAAGCTCATCACTGTCTCATGTCTCCTGTCTGGTTGTTATAATACAGACAAGATCAGAGATACTGCATTTTTCTACAGTTATGTCACAGAAATGACATTAATTAAATTGCCATCCTCGCATTGTATTATTGAGTAATGAGCAACTTACTTAATATGAGGTCCAGAGCATACAGGGAGATAACATTAGTCAAATATGAGCCAAATATAAAGACGATGATAATATTTGGAAAAACCAGATGCAAGACAAGAACAGCAAGAATTATGGAAATTTATTTGTATTATTTTAAATGTATCTTTTCGGATTAATCGTTTCAGTGTTGTTATGTAATAATTTAGCAGTACTATATCTCTATGTTCCATTGAATCATTGTGATTTAGACATCTGGCTGTTGTTTCAGTGTACCAAAAAGGAATCTGAAAGTACATCTGACATTCTTCGAGTTTCTCTGGGTTTGTTCCAGGAAGTTTAAAAAAACCAAACAAAAAGCAAAACTTTCAAATGTTCCAGTTCCAAAACAACTGATTAGAGTTGATTTAATCCCAGATTTGTTCAGAGTTAAACGAATGCTTTGTGAATGGAAAATAAGGCATCATTATTTAAGACTCTGACACTACGATTCAACATAGCAGTGGGTAAATAAAGAACATCTTATTCCAGCGGAAGCAGAATGTGACCGTGCACATTTATCTTCATCTCACGCAGCAACGGGAGCAATGAATGGCTTGAAATGGAGCACGGGAAAGAGTCAATAAACAAGCATCGCACAGTGTTTATGCGGCAGTTCACTCATTCACAGCGGCACAGGTAAAGCTGAGTTCAAATTTCGGCCGTCTGCCGAACGTTTTCTTCAAGATCGCTGAAATTTTAAAGCAGCAAAGTTAAACCACCATGAATTATGGTCTGTTAAGAATACACGCAGCCTATATTTAAAAGCTTACTTTAAATCTTTAAAGCTGCACTACAAACATCCTCAATCAGAATTACACATAATTCCATGTATGCTGTATTATGCTGTGCTGAAGTTAAATGTTTGAATATCTTGAAATTACAGATTTATTTAAACCAAACATGACAGAACAGATTAGACCGACATGGTAATTGTATCATATAAATAAGGTAGACATGAATGCATAATGACTGTTGGCCAATTAAAAGTATGACATTGTATTTTTTTTGATGACACAGTATTGACATAATGGCTAAATAAAAAATGAATGGTTAGTAAAACTAATGATAAACTTTACCCAAGCAACATTATAATGTCTTGGTGCATGCTCAACCATCCAGGTAAGGAAATCCCAAAAAGTTAACTCTGTTCATCAGGACGTAGCATAAAATATGGAAATCCCGATGAAAGCAATGACTTCATTATCAAGACTGAAGCTCTCCTCACCTTAATGTCCAACTCGTATTTGTTTAATTCAGTTAAATTGTATTTATATAGAGCCAAATTACCACAGTGGTTGCATCAAGGCGCTTTATATTGTGAGGTAAAGACCCTACAATAATACAAAGAAGACCCCAGGAGTCACCGGACCCACTGTGTGCAATGACTTGGCGACAGTGGGGAGGAAAAACTCCCTTTTAAAAGGAGAAACCAGGCTCAGGGAGGAGCAGCTGCCATTACTGGTTGGGGGGTGAAGGGAAAAGAATTCACTTCTGTCTGTCACAATATTTAATTAATCCTAAAACGTCTCAAATGAGGACATAACCAATGGAAACTACGACTTTAAACTGTAATCTTCCCTTTATTTTGATCAGTTTAATATATAAACAGCCATCTTTCTGTACAGTGTTTTTATAAGCTTACATTACAAAGTGTTTTAGTCAGGGTGGCAGCTTTATAATGGGAAACTTTTTGCTACCTTAACATAATTTTCATTATTTCCAAAAAATAGAATATTTTTCATGATGATCTGCATCACTTTGCACACCATTTTCAACCTTTCCTTTCCTTTATTAAAGGATGGTCCAGCGTATCCTGTTTTATAGGAAGTATTGGAGGACACTCTGAAGTATCTTTCCTTAGTATTACTGTGCTTTCTAGGTTCCTAACTGAGTGACGTGACCTGGAAGTGTCTGCTTGGCGGCAATAATAAGCAAAATTTTCTACTTGACCGCAACCTTGATCTGTAGTTAGTCTGCAGCTCACTAATTTTTTCCTCTGTTGCAATCAACCTAGAGTGTCTAATATGATTCAGAGGAATGTGACTGTTCAAAACAGACTAGATTGTAAAGTCTCCACTTTTAGATCACCCCCGCCCCCACACACTCCCCCAGCTTCTCCCCGTATGATCCCCTGCTAAGTTAATTCGCTCCATCCTCTCTCCGTATCGTGCAATAGTCGTTAATTTGAGTGAGACGGGGCAGACCAAACAAACACACACAAAATGCGTTCCCAAATCTGTGGTCCAGATGTGCTCGGCACGTACCACAGCTGCACTAACATTGCTTTTCTGCAACAACATGGCCTGTCAATAACGTCAAATACT